TGGAATTTTGTGTGTATTATGTCTATAATGCCAATGGAGAAAGTGCATTACCACTTGCAATCTACAGCATTGATTTATTTTTCACAATTTTGCAAACTATTAATGGCAGCTGGCAATGTCACATGTAACACAAGCTAGGCCGTCGGAAACGGGGGGCTTGACCCCCCCCCCCTATAATTTCCATTTGTATAAGCAAAACACACAAAATAACTAGAAAAGTGCAAAATCAATTAAAATTTGTTCAGATATATTCTTGAGTCCCCCCAATATTGATTTACTTCCGATGACCTTGTAACATCCTGCCCAGATATAAGGCCCTCATGTATACAAGGTTATAAATACCCTATTGAATAACTTGCACACCTGACATCACGATAAAGAAAAATGGGCCGGCCCTTGCTTGTGCCGGTTAAAAGGTAAGCATGAGCTACTAAGTGTGTTAGCTTATTTAGTTCATGAAACAAGACAATTAGGAAAGTAGTAAAAGAGGACACATTAGTTGTGAATTTGTTTTTTTTGCTATCCTCACGATAATGTTCACCCAGTATGAAATGAAAAGGTACTCAGTGCACAACCTGTGCAGAGTCCATTTTGTATGTTGGCACACAATTTTGCATTAAAATTGTATATTGTTGATTATAATCATAATCTTTTTAGCAATGATAGATTCAGCCCGGGCACTCAGGTTGTTTTGGGGGCATGCTAGGCGAACAGGTGAGGACTCTGAACCCGGCATTGCTTGAGGAGTAAGATACTTAGGGTACTAACCCCAATTACACATACCACATGAAATACCTAAGGTTACATGGCGACAATATATTTGTAATACTAATTATATACTGTACAATATCTCAAATGCTCAGAGGTATGGGAAATTCAATTTGTAGCCCCCCCCCCCCCTTTCGATTTTTACACTCCCCTGTTGGCCAGGAGTGTACCTCTGTCAACCCCGTCCCCTCCCCCTATAAACCCAACTGTATGCTGGGATGGATTTACTGGGGGGTGCACCCCCTAGCCCTGGCCAGGGGGGGGTGCTATTTTTCATGATAAAGCAAAAAAATATTAGAGACAAAATGAGATACAGTGATTTGAGTGATAACATGATAATAAGCAAACTATGAACAACAATTACAATTCAAATACAGTAGTCAAGCAAGACTTGACTTCAGGGCCATAGCGAGGGGGGGGTATTGGGGAGGTGGTTAAACCCCCCCCAACTTTTGTAGAATTTACATATTTGGAAAATCGGGTTGGCCATTCGGAAAATTACGGCAATAATAGTACAACAAAATTCAGTAGTTGTTAAACAGAGAAAATATAATATAATTGTATTGTGAGTATAAACTGATTTACGAAATCATGGCATTTACATGGATAACATTTAACAAATTGTAAATCGGTAAATTTTTTTTCGGTTTATTACTTCTTAGGGCCGTAAAAACCGGGGGGAGGGCCGGGCTGGCTGCAGCCCTCCCAATAATTTGCTAATAATCATTCTTTTTTCAAAATCATGCAGACCTTTATCATTTAAATAATATACCTTTAAAATACTGACAATTTAATTTTAAGCCGCGCTACATTATCCATGACAAACTGCAAAGAATCATATTACCCATACTTTCCTGCAACTTCCCCGAAATATATGTTAATTAAATACGCCTTCGCCCATTTGGTACTACTATAAATTGTAAGCAAATTGTAAATTTGGACATACCAAAACGCTGTTTTCTGACCATCAGAATTCTGTCAAAACTTCCTTTTTTCGTCATTCGGAAATTTTTGGCCTACACCCCCCCCCCCCCCCTATGCATGTTAGCTACGGCCCTGCTTGACTTGTAAGTTGATGGGCAGGTGGCGTACATGACCAACATAACTTGGCATTAGAGCTGGCAGATCAAAACCACCACCCCCCTACCAGATCATGCTGGATCCATCCTGCCACCATGACTGTTAGTGTTGGTGCTAATTAAACAGTGCAATCTTGAACAGTCTGTGCCAGGCTAGATAGAGAGACGTTAGATGAGATAACTTAGTACCTGAAAAATTCAAACAGAACTTCACTCGAAAAGTCAATAATTTGTACATTCCGCATGGATGTTCAAGTTCTGTGGATTATGGAATATAAACTAGGCTGTTATTACAATTTTCAAAATTGAAGTTGAAACTATAATTAACAAAAGTCAATGGTATGTCTTCTGTTTCACTTTATGTGTGGTATGTGTCAAAAAATTTTTAACTTGGCCAATCTATTTTTTACTTTTAGAGCATAATTCACTGAAACATATAGATATTATTTAAATATTCATTAACTTTTTACTTTTAGTCTTTTATAACTATGTTTGAGAAAAATTCTGTCATAAAATCTTTTTTCAGATTAATCAGATAAAGAATAAGATACCTGGCATTTCAGAATATAAGTTCTACTAACCAAAAAGAATAAAAAGATCAAAAAACAACAATAGAAAATATAGAATATAAACTCCATTTAAACTCCACTCCTTAGCTTGGCGCCATATTGAATTTCGCGGCCGCGCCGGTAAAGGCCTGGGGACCAGGTGCTCTACCGTATCTGAAATAGCCTTTACCTCTCTAATGTGGCATTATAGCTAATAATAATGTCAGATTTAACCCAGACTTTCCCATACAGAATTTTGATGACTTCTGAATTTCCAACATACTCATTAGATTGAAATTCGAAACAAACTTTGGAATTTTAAAACGAACAATCCAAACTTAGAAACAAACACTCGAAGTCAGCTTTCAAAAGCAAATTGAAATGGAGATTAAAATGCTCAAAATTTCGACTGTAAATTCAAAATGAGAGGGCCACAGTTTCGACTCCTGCCAGAAGGTCGATAGTCAGTTGCATTTTTCGTCACTGTTCCCCCAACAATTTCGATATTTTTAGCTTGCCAGGTTTTCTCTGGAAGCCGCGCAGAACATTTGTAGCTAACGCGTAGCCATGATTGAAATCTGGAAACAAAGTCGTCAACTTCACGGAAAAATCGTTACAACCCAAGAACGATAGAATTAGCATAAAATCATTCAATGCGATAGTCTTGATCAATGCCTAAAGTCTAAGAAAATGTCAGTTGGCAGCTTGTAACAAAGATACTATCAAACCAATTTTTTGACCGGTGTCACACGATTTTCGCCCCCTCCAGGAGATTCGTACCCCTCACAAAAAGGGGGGGGGGGCGAATCTCCTAGGATATTCGCCCTCCGTGGCGAAATTCCTAGGAATATCGCCACCGCCTCGTTTATTTCATACAATGAGAAGACATACTAAGATCGTCTATTTAATTTAGTTTATATATCAAAATTAGATCAATTCCATCATATCTGTCAACACAATGTGCAACATAGTCATGGTCATAGGGCATGGGAAAATATAGAACTGATATGACCACCAGGCACTATAGTTCATAGGCATAGTAAACAACACGCCGAAGGCAACCGATGGCAAATGCATGTGTGAATAATAACAATCACTGGAAAAAATTTTGAAAATCCATAGAAGGTCGTAGAATGGAAATTGTATGGACCTTTATTGGAAATAGAATGGATTATATTTCCATACTATGGATATAGTATGGAAATAGTATGGATATACTATGGATTTAGTGGTGCAACTGCAAATTTCCTAGTATGGATTTCACATTTTTTTCCAGTGAATAAAAGTCTAAAAGCATGATTAAAGTCATATAGTAATAGATCTTTTTAAAAAGTCTGCCTTGTGACGTAGTTTGCGAACAAATACGATCATTTGGCCAATTACGCAAGCCAAATGGCTGTGCGGGGTTTTCCTTTATCCGCAAACTACGTTACAAGGCAGACTTTTTAAAAAGATCTATTATCCCATGCAACCGTTAGGAAGGCAAAATTTTTACGGAGGACGAAATTCGTAAAGGAAAGGCGAAGTTTCTGAAGCGGAGAATGTCCTAAAGGGGAGAATCTCCCAGGGATTTCGCTCTCCGGGAGGGTAAATCTCTAGGAAAACCCATGCACTGGTGGCGAATTTGTTGGGGCGGAAATTCCTGGGACACCGGCCGTATTTAATTGAGTTTGAAAAGCAATCACACTCTGCATCAACAAGGTCGTTCTAGCTGTTTATTTTATTTAGGTTTATTGGAGGGGAAATGAACACATGTTATAATGCTCTGGATCGCCATATTAAATCTGGTCATGGAGAACAGCTTGCCTTGATTTACGATAGTCCCGTGACAAATACTATTAAAAAATATACCTATCAAGAACTGCTGGACCAGGTAAAATTTACATAACGTGGTCGCTCAGTCCCCGACAGTGAGCTCCATATATAACTGGAGTAAAACCTCACGTCCAGAAAATGAAGCCAAAGGTCGCGGAAATTGACGTCCAGTGCCAGTCCCTTCCTATTGTTTTTGTCTGCCCGGTTGACACGGAGCTGCAATTTAAAGAATAACTTTATAGTTTCCTGACCTGATTAGCGATATAATCCGTTAGAAAAAAAATTAGCTAATTTTTAAAATAGTGCGAAAACTATTTACGAACTGCATAGATTTTGGACGTCAATTTCCGCCATCTTGGATTCACTTTTATCACGGACGAATGACTGAAGTTCTCGCTCCAGATATTATAGAGCTCACTGGTCTCCGAGCGGTGCGAGTGCAATGTATTCTGAGAATGGTCAGGGAGACACAACACTGAGCTGAAAACTGTAGAACTATACATAGTGCATCTATATATTATGCATAAATGTACACCTCAAAGTGGTGCTGTTGATGTCAGTTCATGTCTTGATTTTTTAAGTTAAAATCCTTTTTATTGAAACCTCTAAGCAACCCAATGGCTGGACCGCCACTTCTAGTTACTGGTGAAGCGAATAATTTTTTCTTGCAATGCCTAATTTATCTTTGCTGCGCGTACGTTAATTTATTTCGCGCAAAATTTTCCGCATTTCGCAGAAAAGAAGCGCTTTTGAAATATTTAACGTTAAACTAAATCGCTTTCAGCCTTTCATTCGACCTGCCTAACTGAACATATGTATATTCACAACTTCAAGAGTTTCATAGTATCACGACTCGTGATGGCATCCCTGGTGGTAAAATCTCGAACGGTCTGTGCCAATGTAGATAGCGAGATCGCTGAGGTTTGAGATACAACTACCTGAAAAATACAAGAAGAACGTCGACGTTTCGAACAAATGCCCTAAAGGCCCATTTCCACTCAGGAAAATTTTCCGCAGAAAGAAAATTTTGTAAAATGTGATTGGCCGACACAAATTTTCCGTCACACAAATATTTTGAAGTTGAAAATTTTCAACTTTTAACAATGACTTTTTCGGAAAATTTTCTGTCCGTGGAAATTTTTCTTGAGTGGAAATGGGCCTTTACTTTCCGACGATTTCCGACGAAGGATCTTCTGTTTCGAGGGTAGTCGTGTGTCTCTGAATCCGCAGCTATCTTGCCATCGCTGGTGGTAACCTGGTGTGACCCGATTCTTCGGTTTTGCATTAGCGCAAACGGTCAGTTTGGGATTCATTTTAGAACTCGTTACGTGTTGTCACGACTCATGAAATGGTTACTTGATTACTCAATATTTTTAGGTGAGCCTATTTGCTGGAGGTTTAACAGATCTGGGAGTAGTTAAAGGCGATCGTGTTGTAATCTATATGCCGATGATTCCACAGGTACTTACAGTATAAGAATTAATACGGCATAAAACTCTATTAGTAAAATTATCGCCTGGAGCGGTGAGCTTGGAGAATATTTTATATTTTAACCAAATATATTTCGGCTTGCCTCTATAAAGTTAAAGGCGCCAGCACCGGACAGGTTTTTGTCTGGATATAGCTATTCGTGCAGGTACACGCTTTACGTGGATCCGGACAAGTTTTTGACCGCCTACGAAAGGGTACTGATATGAAATTGTTCCAAACAGATATTTTTTGGTATCATGTAAACACAAAACTAGGCTAAAGGAATACCGAATGGTTTTCCGTGCAGGATTGCATGATCCATGAACGAGGGATGTCGCGCGCGAGACTTTCGGAAAGCGTAAAAATACTCGAGCCGCAGGCGAGTGTATTTTTACGCTGTCCGAAAGTCGAGCAACATCCCGAGTGCATGAATCACGCTATCCTGCTTGGAAAACCATTTGGTAATTGTTTTATAAAATAACTACAGTGAAACATTTTGAGGATCCCGCGAAAATCCCGCGAAAATCCCGCGAAGTATATTTTTCGGCCTGCCTCTATAGTTAAGGGCGCCAGCACCAGACAGGTTTTTGTCTGGATAGCTATTCGTGCAGGTACACGCTTTACACGGACCGGCCGATCCGGACAAGTTTTTGACCACCTACGGAAGCTTACTAATTTGAAATTGTTCCAAACAAATATTTTTTTGGTATCATGTAAACACAAAACTGGACAAGTATTTCTGTTGATTCATTCCAGTTTGGGCTGTTCCCGCCTGCTGTGATGTGATTATATACACGTTTAGTGAAACATCAGGAAAATTCATAATCCTTGGTCTTAGAATTGAAAAATATTTGTTCCTTTTATTTCAATACATCTTCCAAATATTTCCCCTGTGGATATATTTTATTTACCTTTAATATTCCTAAAGTCCAAAATTCACCCATTTGGATTGCTTATTCAACTGAATAATTTTTGTCTGACGGCATGCGTGGCAAATTGAAGCTGAAGAATAGGAGAGTAATTGCTGATGGTAAACAACGCTTTTGTAAAAGCAGTTCAGAAAAATATTTGTCAATGAAGGTGGACAAACTATGCGAAGTCCTCGGATATTCTGAACCTAAATAACGTGATCCAGTTGCTTCCTTCCAAAATTCTGCCGAACAAGCACCTTTGTCAACAACTGCGGTACCTTCATACGAGAATTATCTCTATGCAGTTTTATAATATAGCTCAGTTGTAATTATTTTATTGGATTTTTTTCAATCCGTAAAGGCCTGATTCCACGAGCGCTTTTTCTTGGCGAAATGCGAATTATTTCGCCTGTTTCTTTTGAATTGCGACCACTCGAATAAATTATTTCTACTTGATTGCTCACAATTCAAAAGAAACAGGCGAAATATTTCGCATTTCGCCAAGAAAAAGCGCCCGTGGAATCAGGCCTTAATGCGAATATTGGACAATTTCCTGCAATGCGGAAGACCTATATATAGATGTCCTGGTTATGTCTAAAAATGTACAGGGTGTCTAAAAAAAAACGCTATGGAAATTTAACAGGCTGTCGTGCATCATAAACGTGGCTAAACAATTCAATTTTTACATAGGACGGAAGAACAGATATTTAGCATCTCAACCCAGGTTGACAATCTTGCCAAGATCCCAGCAAGATCTTGACAAGATCTTACCCAAGATCTTACCAAGATCATGCCAAGATCTTACATAAATCCTGCAAGATCATGGAAAGATCTTGCATGATCTTGCAAGATCTTTCCAAGTTCTTGCAGGATCTTACCTAAGATCTTGCCATTATCATGGCAAGATCTTGTCATGATCATGGCAAGATCTTGCAAGATGTTTGGCAAGATCTTGCAAGATCCTGCAAGATCTTAGGTAAGATCCTGCAAGAACTTGCAAGATCTTTCCATGATCTTGCAGGATCTTTCCATGATCTTGCAGGATTTATGTAAGATCTTGCCATGATCTTGGTACAAATCCTGCAAGATCTTGCCATGATAATGGCAAGATCTTGCAAGATCTTGCCAATAATGGCAAGATCTTGCAAGACAGGAAAGATCTTGCAAGATCCTGCAAGATCTTAGGTAAGATCCTGCAAGAACTTGGAAAGATCTTGTAAGATCATGCAAGATCTTTCCATGATCTTGCAGGATTTATGTAACATCTTGGCATGATCTTGGTACAAATCCTGCAAGATCTTGCCATGATTCTCCAAGATCTTACCACAAATCCTGCAAGATCTTGCCATGATCCTCCAAGATCTTGCCAAAATCCAGCAAGATCTTGCCATGATCTTGCCAAAAATCCTGCGAGATCTTGCCATGATCCTCCAAGATCTTACCGAAATCCAGCAAGATCTTGACATAATCCTCCAAGATCTTACCAAAAATCCTGCGAGATCTTGCCATGTTCCTTCAATATCTTACCAAAATCCAGCCAGATCTTGCCATGACCCTACAAGATTTTACCAAGTTCGTGGCAAGAATACATGGCAAATACAGAATGAAGAGGCTCTACATGAAATATACTATACTCTGGATATAACTTTGATTGAATTTATCAAACCAACGTAAAAGTGTACAATATTGCCATAAATTCAGTGTCGGTCTTTATTAAATTGTAATCAATTAGTTCATCCAAATTATAATACTCAAGCTTTTACCCGGTTTAGTTTGCATAGTAAATGTAGTAAATTAGACCAATAATGTTGGTAAAATATTATCAATATCTATGGCGATTGAAATAAAGTCTGAATGAAAGTTCCACCTTGCTCAATATTTGAGAGAAAACAAAGGGAATCTTGTCTGTTCTTAATAATGTTGTTCTAAAGAATTGAGTTTCAAGATGGAACTTTTATTCGGAGGTTGTTTCATACTTTACTTCATGAATTATATTAGCATTGACACCATTGTTATTGCAAGTTCTTCGATTTTGTTTTTCTTCGCATATCGCGGCACTTTTGAATTTTGATTGCACGCATCCACGATAATTTGGCGTGTTTACTGTTCTCTGTACTTTTTCTTCGCCATACTTGGCGTTGAGGACAGCTATATCGTAAAAAAAGACTGTGTTAAAGTAAGTCTATTTTTTGTATTTAAGTTCATTTCAATGTTTACCCAAAACACATTGCCATTGGCAAAGAAAACTATAGTACTTTTAATTAACACATACTGTGGCAACTTAGTCTTAAGTTTGTATATATCTGTTCACAGCTGGCCAGTTAATTTTCTTGAAGTCAAATCACATATATTATTCTTACCAAACAATTTAGTGACCCTGTTGGGATCTAGTGCTGGTTTTGGAGATCTTTTCGACTGGAATAGTATTCCATCCTGGAGCTCTTCCGATGAAAATAGGAAGTCCAATAATTTGATTGCACATTTTGATGGCTCTTTTGGCGGTGCATTTACGGTCATCAAATTAATGTCATTGTGCCACTAAAATGAATTAACAATACTTGATATTAAATCACTGTAGTTTAATTCTTTTTAAGTAAAAACGATAAATTACACATGTATACACTCATACTTACAATCTCGATCTCTGTAGTTTCTTTTTTGGCCATAGCTTTATCATTTGGGGATGCCTTCACCATGTTTTCCTAAATAATATTTGAAATAACAAATTTTGAATAATACACATGTTGAATAATACACATGTTGAATAATCATAGCTCAAACCATTAATTTTATATGAAAGATCTCTATATTTTATCCTAGCTTCACTGGTTGGCATAATGAAACTTAACTCACTAATGAAGCTCACATTTATACCGTAGTGTGAAATTGCGTGTTCCTATGCGCTGCATTTACGATGTTTGGCACTGGATCTGTCAAAGGGTATTCTCAACGGCTTTGTCATTCTTAACAAAACGTTAAACTATGCATTATCACGTAAAAGCTTATTGCGACCAATGATGAGGTGTTATTAAAATTATTTAAAGTCGAAATTACAGCAAGCATTGCATCGCTTTAACCAATTAACTTAGCCTTTTGTAAGGTTATTTGAAAAAGCTTGAAACATTTATTACATGTGGTAATCAAACTGCTTAGCGCTCATTCATTCAATATACAAATAATGTGTTACAAAAAGGTTGTAAGCACTTACTTTTTATTTAAGACAGCTCGACAAGTTATCCTTTCTTCTTTAGTGCAGCAACAAAGTCGAGGAACAGAAGTATAAACTGCCGTGTACCTTGTATGTTTGACTTATAAAACGCGCCTTGGGGCTTTTACCAACGGTTGTCTACCACAAATATGCGAAAAATGCGCAGATAACAAGATTTACAGATATTGATTAATTGATCTCATTTCAGTCATTTGGATCTGGTACGCAAAGGTGCGAGAGCAACTGTACGCGTAAAAGCCTCCTTTCACAAGGATCTTTCAAAATCATGGCATTTTTGGTATGATCATGGTAAAATCATGACAAGAGATTGTGTCAAGAACTTCCAAGATCAAGATAGATAAGATCTTGGCAAGATCATGCTTGGAATCATGGCGAGATCTTGACAAGATCTTCCAAGACCATGGCAATATTATAATAGAATCTTGGCAAGATTGTGATAAGATCTTAGCAAGGATCATGATGGGATCTTGAAAAGATCCTCCAAGATCATGGCAAGATTACAATAAGATCTTGGCAAGATTTTGGTAAGATATTGGCAAGATCATGGTGAGATCTTGTCAAGATTTTCAAGACCATGGCAACATTATGGTAGGATCTTGGCAAGATTTTTGATAAGATCTTGGCAAGATCATGGTGGAATCTTGGCAAGATTGTCCTTTGATAAGATCTTGGCAAGATCATGGTGGAATCTTGGCAAGATTGTGATAAGATCTTAGAAAGGATCATGGTAGGATCTTGGTAAGATCATGGTGGAGTCTTGCCAAGATCCTCCAAGATCATGGCAAGATTACAATAGGATCTTGACAAGATTTTGATATGATCTTGGCAAGATCATGGTGGAATCTTGCCAAGATTGTGCAAGATCATGGCAAGATTATGATAGAATCTTGGCAAGATTGTGATAAGATCTTGGCTAGATCATGGTGGAATCTTGGCAAGGTTGTCCAAGATCATGGCAAGATTATGATAGAATCTTGGCAAGATTGTGATAAGATCTTGGCAAGGACCATGGTGGGATCTTGGCAAGATCATTGTGGGATCTTGACAAGATCATGGCGAGATCATGATAGGATATTGACAAGATTTTGACAAGATCTTGGCTAGATCATGGTGGAATCTTGGCAAGGTTGTCCAAGATCATGGCAAGATTATGATAGAATCTTGGCAAGATTGTGATAAGATCTTGGCAAGGACCATGGTGGGATCTTGGCAAGATCATGGTGGGATCTTGACAAGATCTTCCAAGATCAATGGCAAGATCATGATAGAGTATTGGCAATGTTGTGATATATGCGATTGGTTTGATCAAGGTTCATTATACCTACACTTATGAAGGTCGAAAAATACAACTCAGCAAGAATTATGTATGACGAAAAATCATGAAAGATCTTGGCAAGATCTTGACAAGAATTTCAGACAATCTTGGCAAGATTTTGGTAAGTATGGCAAGATTGAATAATCTTGGCAAGATATTGGTAATATCTTGGCAAGATCTTGCCAAGATTAGTGTCTTGCCAAGACCTTGCCATGATCTTCCAAGATCATGCAAGATCTTACAAGATCTTGCCAAGATCTTCAACCTGGGAATGATACCTTTTTAAATCGTAGCGATGAGAAATGGCCACAGGCTCGCCAAATAAAAATCGCCGGTCGAAATCACATTCTTCCACCGTTGGGAATTGCATGGAAAACGAACAATAAACAATTCCCAAGAGGGAATTAAAATGAATTTATGTTAAATTATCTAAAATACAGGGTGTATAAAAAAACGCAACCTCGGAATTTCCCAAGAAATCGACATTGTTTTGAAGACAAAAGATTTTAGGCGCCTGGGAATTTAAAATAGCACAACTGTCAAAATTACTGCACACGCGAGTGCATAAAGCAAAATTTATGCATTTATTTAATGCACAATTAACAACAGTAATATGATCTATTAGCAATTCGATTTCAATTCCCAGGGGCCTAAAATCTTTTATGCTTAAGAATTGCAAAGTGATTCTTAGGAAATTCCGAGGTTGCGTTTTTTTTTATACACCCTGTAAGCTCAACTAGTCAATCTGAATCTTTGTCTTAGTGAGACCATAAGAACGTCATTATTGCATTAAACATGGTTCATTAACCACTGAACAGAGAACATTCGTAATCAAAACGTTTTAAGAAACAAGTACTCGCGTTGCTTTTGCATTGATTAACTTTGCATAGTTAATTGTTTTTCAATTCCCAACGGTGGAAGAATGTGATTTCGACCGGCAATTTTTATTTGACGAGTATCTGCCCATTTCTCATCGTTTCGATTTTAAAAGAGTATCATTGAAAAGCTAATTAAAATAACTGTTCTTTCGTCCCATGTAAAAAATTGAATTGTTTAGCCACGTTTATGATGCACGGCAGTCTGTTGAATTTCCATGGCGTTTTTTTTAGACACCCTGTATATTGTTCCATAGAACGGGTGGCCAAAGATTTTGATATTTATCAATATATACTTTTACATACATGAACTTGTGTTTAATGCTCAGCAAATGGACTCTGTAGCTCAGTTGGTTAGAGGACTGCACCATGCAGAATCGCATGCAGGGCTGCATGAGGTTGTTTCCTACCAGGGGGTCTATAGTCGCAACTGTTCCTGGTTTGGTCTAAAAATTCACATACATAATGAGTTTGTGTTGGAAAATTGCATCAGCAACAGAGCCATCTATACTATTAGTCCAATCGAACTACAGGGTGTCTCAAAAAACCCCAAAATCATTGAAATTGACGTATTGTTCGATATTCAATGCCCTAGCACTAAGTTAATACCACGAGTGCATAAAAGATTGACATAACTGCTATAATGAATGGTAATACTCAGCGTAAACTTGTTATGTCAGGCATAAAGTACTAAACCCACGAATGCATATTACGCATATTACAATTTACGAAGCATTTTTAAATTCCCATGAGCAAACAAACGTTCACTTTACAAAGATATTTTAATTTTTTAAAACAAATTAATCACCCTGTCAAAATCCTTTGTGTTACGGCATTGAAATTCGAACAATACGTTATTTCAATGATTTTGGTTTTTTTTGAGACACCCTGTATAGATGCCCAGAGGTCTCGATATCTGCTTCGTTAAATGCTGTTTGTTTGATTATAGGCTGTTGTAGCCATGTTAGCATGCAGCCGTATTGGAGCGATTCATTCTGTCGTATTTGGTGGTTTTGCGTCGGAAGAGTTAGGACGGAGAATACAGCATGCTGAGGTATCACTCTATGATCTGCTGATAAGATCAGCTATGATCTGCCGTCAATCCTGCAGGCTGCTCCATTTACTGTTCTAGAACATTTGGAACACTGTTCTGGAACGATATGAAATGGAGTGCACACGGTGTTCTGGAACAGTGTTTAGTTTATTATATATGCGTGCAACCATGCATTACTACAGTGTATATTTATTAGTTATTCGCATGATAAATCGTATAATGGTTTGCTGTTATTTGTATATATATGAGTATGCTTTTGCAACGTTTTTATTCGTTGATTTTGCCCAACCCTGGCATTCAAGTAGCATATAATAAATATATGTCGATATATAGCGGTTAACCCTTCAAAATAACACTCTATGTAGTGTGCATTGGGCCCGTTTCATACGCCGTACTTCACATGTGCCGAATACATTAAAAACAATAGGTAATGAGGCATTTCAGCTCATTATCTATTGTCTTTAATGTATTCGGCACATGTGAAGTACGGCGTATGAAACGGGCCTTGGATACACAAAATCTATCGCCTCCATTTCCAATCACGTGAAAATGCGCAGTATCACCTGTTCTGTTCCGGCTGTCCCTACTCGAAAATCGGAGTAGTCAGAACAGTTCAGAACAGTCATGTGACTGTCTTCTGTTCCATTCCATTAGTGTTCCGAAAATCCGGAGTACTCCGAACAGTAAATGAAGCAGCTTGCTGAGGGTCCCACTATTTCTATATGCGATATACATATAATTACCCCCGCCCATATTTGCCATATTTTGCTTCCTGTAATTCATAATACATGATTAATAGTTATTTAGCGTCAATTTTGGTCAGACAGATATAATTTTGGGATTGATTATCCTTCAGAACGAGGATAACAATATGTGACACCGCCTTATCCAACAGTTGCTCTTTTTCAATTAAACAATAAAAACTGGTATAAATTTGACTGCAAATAATTGTGAAATACCACAAGATTTATTCTTATCACTACCCATTGGGGCTTTCTAGTGACCGATTACATCAAGTATTACGCTTATATTACCTACTAAGCTTAGACTATTTATTTTTTACAACAATTGTGACATTACTTTCCTAACTATGTTTATTTTAATACACCCTGTCAACTTTCCCTGTGGGAGGAAACCAGCGAGCCCGGAGAAAACCCAGGACTTTCAGCAGATCGTTGATTGATTCTTTTCACATGAGTCCACACATGAGTCCGTAGCGAGACTCGAACCCACGATCTCAGAGGTGAAAGGTGCTTGCTCTGACGACTGCGCCACCGATGTCCCTTGGGCGCTTGCATCTTAGCCTGCGAACAGGCTCTCAAGCTGAATTGAGAGCCTGCATCGATGACTAATGAATTTGAATATCTGCGTCTCCAATCGTGACGCGAAATTCTCATTGGTCAGATGCTATAATTTATATGTTTCCGCTGAGCTCTATATATGTCAACTGCTGAAGCACTATGCATAAAAAACACATTAACTGATCAAATTGGTCTTGACCATCTTATCTCAAAGCACGAAATGTTCTGTTTTGAGAAAACAGTATTTAAAACATTTGAACTTTTGCTTCAATATCTTATAGTTCGAAAAACAGTATAAACTGTACGGTCTAAATTTAGTTTGCACGGTCTAAATTTAGTTTGCACGAAAGTTGTAAACAACACCATATAAGGATATACATTCCATATTTGGAAAAACGAACGTTACGGGGCAGATATTCAAATTCATTAGTCATCGATGCAGGCTCTCAATTCAGCTTGAGAGCCTGTTCGCAGGCTACTTGCATCTAGGTGCACCGGCCTGTTCCGCCCCCTCCACTTCTGGAATGGATTGTCGCCCTTGAAAGGAATAGTAGGCGGTTGTAACTTGTAGGAAGCCCGTTCAGATTTGCCAAACGTTTTTTAAGAAATGAGGGTATATACCAATTAGCCATTCCGAAGTTGATGAGAGGACTGGGACGAGTGTTAAAAAGTGCCCAAATTAAGAAATGAACCAAATAACTAAAACGACCACCTCCAAGTTTGAAGACGTTTACATAAATACCCTTCGAATAATAAGCTTTCGAAAATTGTGAAATTACTGATTAAAAGATTGTTTTTGGGACGCGCGTCCCCAAAACAAAAATTACAATACATTTCATAGTAAATATCACTACGATTTTTGAAAGCTTATTATTCAAAGGATGTTCATGTAAACGTTTTCAAACTTTGTATACTTACTAATTTTGAGGTGGTCGTTTTAGCCATTCGGTTCATTTCTTAATTTGGGCACTTTTTAACACTCGTCCACTGTCCTCTCATCAACTTCGGAATGGCTAATTCGTATTGTTTTGACATAAAAGCCAAAGACATGGCTTCCTTCCAAAGACATGGCTGGCTTCCATCCTGGTAAGATTTCTTATTTTCCTTTGATTCTTTATGTTTATAGCCTAAAGTCGTAGTCACAGCTTCCTGTGGAATTGAGCCAAAAGGAATACTGCCGTACAAACCATTGATGGATGAAGCTATCGAATTCTCCCAATACAAACCTGAAAAGTGCGTTATTTACCAAAGAGACATGGTTTGTATATTGTGCATTTTCCATTCCAACATTTCGACTTTCTTTCTGGTTACGATCCCTTAACGCATTTATTCAAACAAAAAGAAACTACACAGTAAAGTTGAAAAACGTATCCAAGATATAGGGATGGTAAGAAAATTCAAAATCAGCTAAATTAACTTCGACAAGCAAAGTGTTTGTTCAACTCGAATCCTAACTTGAATCCTGAGCCTTCCTCTAGTTTGGTAAACGAACAATACAATTTACAGTCATTTTACAGTATAATATCCAACCCGGAACAGAATAATTATAATTTATGCATTCCGTCAATCACAATGTTTCTAATAGGGAGATTAAAGGTCCAGACACAACAGACGGGATTCGGCAACGCGACGTGGTTTTTTAGTTTTTGTGGCTAGCCCGTTTGCGGGCTAGCCACTATCACATACACATACACAAACGCGATGAGCGATGATGATCATGGTGTCCAGTCCGGATTTTCGTAAAGTATCGGGAGCAATCGGAAGCGCCCGTATTTTTCTGCCGACATTTCACATTTGCATTTCGAGTCAATACTAGTGATGCTGTTACGACGCAGTACTAATGAGGTTGTTAAACCAGAAAATTAAAAAAAAGTTTATCTTCATGGCTTCAACCTATGGTGTCGAAGCCGATTAGAAATTGCGCGTACTCGCCGTGTAAATATGGGTTTTGATTTGCACTTTTGACTGATTTGCGGGCCATTAGCCATCTTGAATTGTCTTCTTGTTGAGATTTCATATCTCAAAAGTGGAGGAGGTTATAATGCAGCGAATAAAACCAGCATTGGAAAATTATGGTAAAAGACCAGAAACTGTGCATTGAACTCGTTTATCAGGCTTTAAGTATAGCTTTTCTTCAGACATTGACGGCGTCTCAAATGTCTACATATTTGTAATAATTACTAATAAACCTATAAAGGATTATTGCGTCTGTCTGTCTTAGGAGTTATATAGTCGAATAATTCAGCATGATTTGTCTCACGTTCTCTTATAAGTTGACTAATATTGCATTAAAAGTGGTAAAAGTTGGTGTGCTAACCAAGATTCCAGTGTATTTGTTTGCTAATATTGCTAGGCCTATATCTCAAACGCTATTTGCCTATTAAAATATCATATGACACGCAATTTTAATTCCACGACAAAACTGCTGTTGCCCAAATAACAAACGCGAGATTAAATATATATGGCAGTATTACAGTTTGGTAATATTGCGTTAAAAGTGGTGTGTCTTCTTATTACTATTAAAGTTAACCAGCATGGCAGGCTTTCTGGGTTTGGAGGAGGGTTTGGGGAGTTAAAGTTTACCAGGCTAGCCACATGTACGCATTTCGTACCTATTTTTGAAAGTTAATAAAACAGCCAATGAGAGCAAATTTTGAAAGATATGTAGACCAAATAACTCAAAATGTTATAGTACTTCTAAATATTTGGAAAATTTAAACTATAGGATCATGAGAGAAAATCGAAAAATCGCGTCGCGTTCTCGAATCGCGTCCGGTGTGTCTGGACCTTAATTTGGGAATTACGGGATGATCAAATACGCAGTATGATCAAATCAAGTCAACGCAGTATGATCAAGTCAGTATGATCAAGATCAAGTATGATCAAATACGCAGACTTTAGCAAAAATTTGTAAACAAACTGGCGCTCCTCGCGAAGCCGTCGTATCTTAACCTCTTAACCACGCTGACATATTGCCGCGGTAATACCCAAATTATCGTCTGTGTTCCCCATAGCGAAGAAATCGCGGTCATATCGGACAATGTTACAAATATAACTGAAAAGCCCGAAAACGTACCACCTGAAAATTAAACTGTTCTAAAACAAAAACATAGGACTATAACGTCAAATCTTTAGATTTACCAATGTTTGCAAAATCGTAGTTTACTGCTTTGGTAGCGGCAGGAATGCCTCGACGAACTTTAATCGGCCGCTATCATTTCAGGTGAAGGGTACGAATCTAAAAATGTATATAGGGCTTTAGGTCCTCGTAGAAGTCTTATAACGTGAATCGTTGATAATTGCGCAGAGCGTAAGATGCGGTTTTAAGTTTGTTTAAATGATCTTCAAAAACTCATTAATAATTCATGAGGAAAAGCCAAAGAAATCACTACCGTGTCGGTGATTTTATATGTGATGAAAAATCATGTTAATTTACATAAACTTTTGCTTTCTCGGCTAAGATAATGTTTATTTTTAAAATTACTTCGCCAATGAACTCATCAGATGGGTCGTTTTTTAATCCATTTAAAACACTCGCAACCCATGCTTTATAAGACACTCCTGCTCGTTTTTTAAATAGTACATAACGCATGATAATAATGATCAGAGACTCTGCAGTTGATAATTAGTCTAAAGCCTAGTTTTCATATGGTCGTTAGTTGTCGCTGGCACGACAAGCGGTAGATGTGAAATAGTCTAATATCAATAGTCTTTTTGTGTGTTATATATGCAAATCAGTCTTAATGATTGCAGAATTTTATAAAATTTTGTTGACACTCTATTACATCAGCCACTTGTCGTGCCAGCGACAACTAACGACCAAATGGAAACTAGGCTTAACTCTGAATAATAATCAATGCAGCCAACGCTATGTCAATCGCACTGCAAAAACCAGTCAACTAACCCACCCTCGTTTCGGAAAAATTCCACGCAATGCCGCGGCTGATTCGTTCAATTAACAGAATATATATTTAATTTTAGTACAAAGGAATTATGATAGATGGTAGAGATGTGGAATGGAATGATGTTATGGCAAAGGCCTCTCCCCAAGACTGTGTTCCAGTGCTGGCAACGGATCCTCTTTACATATTGTACACGTCAGGCACCACAGGTGACCCCAAGGTTGGTGATTGATATTGGGCTAGATTATAATTCTCAAATTAACATGTCTTTTTAATGCTATGTTTGTTCACTGGTATATGTATTGCTTTCCTTTTCAAGCAAATTTAACTTTTTCGTATAAAGTAATTTTAAAAAATAAACTGAAATTAAAGAATTCGAATTTTGGAAAATTGAAGGAAATTCTATAATTGTTATATGCATACATTGAACATAACTCCATTTTCTACAGTTACATGCACATTAACTAGCTCGAAAACGTCAGTCAATCAAATATTTAAAAAGTTGCTTTAAACTACAAGCTCTCTTACTATCTTTATATATGCAGTTTTGTGTGAAAATGACCCTCAATGTCAACTGTTTTTTGTTTTCTGCATATTCATATATATGTAGTCAGTATTTTTTTAGCGCTTGAAACCTTTACGCTAACGATGTGATTTCGAAGTTAAAGTATATTGACCTTAATTACAGGGTGTTGTACGTCCTTCAGGTGGTCATGCTGTGGCACTGAACTGGTCAATGAAACATTTATATGGCATCGAGCCCGGTGAGGTGAGGAGAATTCTTGGAAAGCTTATATTTGGGGAGTTTTATGTGATATTCGAGTTTTCCTGCTTTTTATTTAGTTAGAATACTATAGGACATCAGCAGCTATAGCAGATTGCAGTATAGGAATCGAAGGGTGAGTGGGGTAATAGGAAAGTTTGAGAGCCCCTCTTCTTCTTATTTGCTACGTCTGCCAATTAGTACGTAATATTATTTATTTAACAGAATTCATGATTTCTGATTGGGTAACAGCCAACGGTGATTCTTCATATCAACACTGACAATGGCTGACCAAATATGTTGTTGTGACGTCAATGTTGTGATATTATAGGTGTGATATGGAGAATTAGAGAGCTTAAGCATGCGGCATTTTTGACAATACGAACGTTGACCGGAAGCAAATATGACGTTATCAACCAATCAACATTCTTGACCCAGTCGTTTAACGTTACTCATGCCGTTCCTGTTGTCAAAAACGTCGCCTGCTTAAGCTCGCTAATGCGCACGCTACGGCGCCATGCTATTGATGTAATCTGGAAACACAAACAAATACATTACAGGTCGATTTTGGCCCGTTGTGTATACTATTCTAGTTTTTACGTTACATTTAATCAAACAGCGTACCTGTTTTGGAATACCTGGTATAGAAAACCTTTTTCTGGTGTAAGGGATCACAGAGATCTTTACTTGGTCTTTATTGGTGTTTATTGTTTACATGGTGTTTAGGTGTGGTGGGCTGCTTCTGATCTAGGATGGGTAGTTGGTCATTCCTACATTGTATATGCGCCGCTATTAACAAGAGCCACGTCAGTGCTTTTTGAGGTATGGATCTTCGTCCAACACCGACCAGTTGCCGACCAAGATTCTAAACCACACGAATTCATTAATTATTGCATAATCATATACTAGGAAACATATCCAGCTCGCCTTCATACAACTCTGTCTTAGCAACGTGCTATGTGTTCGAACTTGTCGTAATGTGTTGAACTGCATGGCTCTTAATTAATCAAAACGAGATGTAATATCCATGTGTAGTATATTTGTAACATCCATTTTGTGGTATGTTGCAGGGAAAGCCCGTGGGGACTCCAGATTCTGGAGCTTTCTTCCGAGTGATTGAAGAACATAATGTTTGCAGCTTGTTTACAGCACCAACAGCTATTCGCATAATAAGAACGGAGGTAGGCTTCCAGTTTTTGTTTCAGCAGATGTATTGTTATATAAGATGTGAGTAAATATGTGCATGGGTTAGTGGAGTTTATTATAGCCAATCAGTATAAATATAGTAGCTTCTAGTTCTTCTCGGTAGCTTCTAGTTCTAGTCAATCAGCAGCGACAACCCCTGTTTATCCCGTAACGAAGGGATAAACAGTTTCAATTATAATTGTAATAACTATGTTTATTTATAGTTATTACATTTATAATTGAAACTGTTTATCGCTTCGTTAATACGGGAACGAAAATGTGTATGTTTCATCAACTGCATGTTGAACTTTGCAATTGTAATGAGGAGCTTTCGATTTTTGTTGAAAATTTTGAATACACAATAAAAAAAATAGGGAAATTCAATGTTTTAATTTATAGGCAAACGTTAACAAACGATCAAACAGAAACATTGAAAATTCGTTTTGAGCAACTTTAACATGATTGGTCAGTTGTTATTTAACAGCTAACATGATTGGTTTATCTGCACAGGAAGTTAGGAAATTTCTATGGAACTTCTTCAAATGATTGAGGAAGTGTTCTGTGATCGACGCATGGAAATGAACTGATCAAAATTGTTCGGAACGCTTCTATTGGCACGAATGTAATTTGTACAGACATTTCATATTGTAATATCAGGAAATTATGAGTTGTGAAACGCAGGATATCTAGTCTTGAACTTGCTTTTACGTTGTTCAAACGTATCGATTTTTCGAGAGATTTGTCAAACGTCACTATTTCGCGGTTCAAACTATTTGTTATTACGTGTCAACATGCACGTTTGACCCGCCCATCGTGTACGTTTGAAACGTAAACAAACGTGAAAAAAGTTTGGATTTTGCGGTTGCTTGCAAATGGTAGTATAAAGCAATTAGAAAAAGTATGTAGTAGTCTGCAATGACCCATGCACAGTAATGTTTGAAAAGTTTGATCAGTTTAAATGGTATTTAATCTCCTATAAATATCCTATAATTGTTAATTGTTTTGTTTTGTTTTGAAAACGATAGTATTTCACTTTGACATCTAAATTTACTATTAAATAATGCATAATGATTTAAATTGTTCCGTGTTAGCTACATTATTCAGAGGGGGACAGCAAAATGTTATAATAAACTAACATCACCATCAAGCACCATTAATCTCCTTGCGCAGATACATGTACGCTCACTGTTTACTACCAGACTTCAAACGTTTGCTCTTCTACCAATCTGATTGACATGAATATCTCGACATGGTGCTCTTTTATAAAATAACTCTGGAACTAGTTAACTGACATATCTTTGATAACACTTCTCGAATTAAAGAAATTGGTAATATGCTTTGCAAAAGTCGGAGTGTTGGAATACAACATGACCAAGAGCACGTCGAACGGCAACCCAGACATGGTTATACTCAGAAACACCCTAGGTGGATGCGAAAATCGCAACAGGACTGTAATTTCAGAGATAAGTTAAATTAAATGCAGGGACCTGAGACCATCTAATAAACAGCAACTTGGTCGTTATCTTTCCTCAATCGATTGATCAGTGCTCCACTCTGTTGTTTCAGTAGAAGACAAAGCTAAGTTACTTGAAGATTTTATCACAATTGGTTTAGATAATATTATGCCTGAAAGAGTCATAAAGATACATAGTAACGACGCACCGTGGATGACCACAGATTTGAAATCACAGATTAAGAAGCGTCAGATGGCCTTAGCAGAGGGAAATGTAACATTATTCAAGCACTATCGAAATCTGGTTAATCGGAATAGAAAGAAATGTAGGAGCAAATATTATTTGTCCAAAGTACACAATTTAAAAAACTCCAGACCAAAGAATTGGTGGAAGGAAGTCAAGCGAATTAGTGGGCATTCACCGGTAAACAATCACAGTGACCTAATTTCGCTTCTTGCTAACGCAATTGATAACTTTGATCACATGTCTCCTGAAGATGTCGCAAATTCAATTAACAATTCATTTTTGGATCCACAACAAGCTTATACTCCACTTGACGAGTCCGCAAAGATTCAAGCTCAAACTAACAATACATCTGAAATATTTAACCTAAATACTTCATCTTTGCAAGTAAACGAGCTCGACACGTACAAAAGCCTAAAATCCCTTAACCCGGATAAATCCTCGGGTCCTGACGGCATTTCTCCTTGGGTTTACAAAGCCTATACTGAAGTCCTTGCATACCCAGTTAGTGTAATCCTGAATTGTTCCTACAACCAAGGAAAATTGCCCTCAATATGGAAAAGTGCTAATATATCACCAATTCCTAAGGAAACACAAATAACTAACATTAACAAACACCCTCGTCTGATTTCACTAACCCCAATTTTATCGAAGGTAGCAGAAGAATTCATTTTAGAAAGACATCTAAAATCTGCTATTTTGAAGATCCTAGACCCGAAACAATTTGGCGTTGTTTCCCGGTCGTCTACTACTGCCAGGGCCGTCCCGAGCGGGGGGGGGGGGGGGGGCC